ATGATGCGTTCTTGTTTCTTCTTATGCATTCCTTTTCCATACCAGTTTTAAAGAATCATTTGCAGTTTGCTGTCAATTTATGCAGAGCTGCTATGTTATGTCATTTTGGTCAAAATTGGATTGTACAAATTCAGAACTCTAATCTGAGATCATTCAATTTCCAAGATTACTAGATTTACATATTAATAACTCATGCTATTTTCCTTTTTACTAGCTGTAATTGAAACCAGAATTTATGGCTTGGAATCTTTAAAAAGTCCAAACGCACTAGCCAAGTGCATCAAGCCTGTAGCCTGGCTACACTGTCATGGAGACACAAATCTAGAAGGCTGGGGCTCTGCATTTCACTCTGCTCTTCCCCAAGGGATGGTTCTCACTACATTATTTAGTATATACTCAAACACACCCAGCAAACCCCAATGTCAAATGATAAATATAGGAGAGTGTTTGTGGCCCATTGATTAAAAATGTGATCTGTGATCACTTTATATCATTTTTTATCATAACATGTACATAAAAACAAGTAAATCACAATATTCGCCTCTGGATTTATCTTGCCAGCTCCCATAGTATCGATTAACAGGAAAAGAAAAGGTAAATTTTTTGCTTCTGTGTGCATGTGTCATGAGCTATGGATTTGGGGTGTCATACTTCTGAAATAGCAGGGCCTTCTGTAAAGAAAGGTATCTAGAAAGTTTTGACTCATTCAAATCATGCCTGTTCCCTTGACTGTTAGGGGAAAAAAGCAAGCAATGTTAGGTGATGTAATTCTCAGTTCAGTTTGGAGAGATTTTATTCCCATGCTTAATGGCCAATTAAAGAGTTATTCCAACAGCTATCGTCGGCTGCCTTTAACTTCAAAATGCTCTTGCTTTTAGTTAACAACAAAACGAATGGGAAAATGTTGCCCACTGAAGCTCTGTTTAAAAGAAAGGCCTCTGCAATGCACGGCTTGCTTGGATATTGTTTAATCAAAACCCGGGAACAGAGACTCAAATCAGAATATAGCTGAGCTGAGGAATGCGGTCAGAGATGGTAGGAACTGAAGAAGTTATATTTCTCAAAATAAATTCTCTGTATAGCATCTAATTTTGCCCATAATTTTTAAAATACTGCTCTGCTCAGGACACAAAGAGAGCTGCTCCAAGGAATGTCCAGCTGTAACTCAGTTCCCACATCTGCACCTTCTCACAGGGCTGGCACTCATGAATGGTACAAGGGAGGAGGTGGCTGCGATAGGTGCAGATAACAGCTGAACAGCTCATCAGTTCATCCACTGACCAAGGAAAACAATAAAAGCTTTGTAGACTAGATTCATGTATGCCAGACCTAAGAAAGGAAATTTTTGTCAGGTTGAAGGAGGAATATATTCTAGGTAATATAAATTAAGAACAAGTCACACAGTATGGGGAAAATATGGGAACAGTACTTGGCTTGATTGACTTGGAGACATAGCAAAGAGGAGACAAGAGGGACATACTACTAAAGTCCATGAAGGGTTATATTAGAGAGAGGCTGAAAGCTTCATGGCCTTTTTAATTTTTAACTGTTTCTGTTGGCCAGGAAGTCTCCACTAGGAAATCCCAGTGAAGCCAGGACAAACTGACTTGGCCTGGGTTGACCATTCTTAACTCTTACTTCACATGGGGACACCAGAAAGTTCTTTATCCTTCATTATTTGTAGCTATTCAGATACAGTGGTCTAAAAGGAGCTTTGGAAGGGCCACTAAACCAGTTTCTCCAGAAGCCAGCTCCTCAGCTTTTGGAATATATTAGCAGTGATCCATGTCCCTGTAATTGAGACTACCAGAGGTGACCTCATGCCTTAAGTACAGCATGGGCTCTAAGGACAAGTTGTGAGGATTAAATACTGACCTTACCACATACCATATAGGTAGTTTCTATAGCCACACACCCTTTAGCACCTTGATTTAATTATAAAACACAGTTACAAGGGTCTCTTCTTCATAGATGTGCTCTGGAATTTGAATGAGGCAGCATTGGTGAAGCATGTACTTAAACTTCACTGGGAAATTAGTGAGTACTCATGTTCAATATTAATTGTCACTATTTTCAGCCAAATATAAACACTGCATTCAGCCTGATATGTTACAGCAGAAGCAAGGAACATAGGACATTGATGTATTTCTTTAGGGCACTTGCAGAATTCCTATTTGTTTCTCCCTGTCTCTGTCTTTGAGGTCTGTTCTTTATTTCTACAGAAGTAAACAGAAACACTAACAGTCAGTGACTTTCCAAGATTCTCACAGAAATCCACAGGCAAAGCATCTATGATAGGAGTCTGAGTCTTCCAGCCAGGAGGTCATAAATCACTTTCAAAATACAAAATGGAGTTCAGCCAGTTACTTGCTAGCCCTTATCTTTTAGAAGCCACCCTCACATCACAGAAGCTTTCACTGCTCCATTTAACATGGCTGAGCCATGCTCCTTATGCAGATGCTCTAGTTTGTGATGTCTAGAGATGCAGCACATGGTCATGTTGACAAGATAGAGGAATGGAGGAGGATTAAGGCCGTTCAGCAGCTGAAAACTCATGTCCCACTATTTTTAGATGACCATTAAACTCACTGCTTTTAATAGTATTTGAAAGTTCTATTTCCCCACCCACCTAGACTACAGTTACAGAGGAGGAAAAAAATTCAACATTTTGTCTGTTTATCTTCCAAATTTCCCAGGAGACAGCCCTTGAGACCTTAAAATACTGTACTCCATATTAGGTAACACATGGCAGGCTGTCTGTATAGGCCACTTCCTTTTAATGAGCAAATGGGCTCTAACCCTCCCCTTCCTCAGCTCCAGGAAGAAGGAAAGAATATTTCTCAGGCCCCCTGGCTCTCTAGATTGTAGATAGGCTTGGCCCTTGGGAAACAATGATGAAAGATTGGAGGAAAGGCTGAGGAACAAGGTCAAGGTATTTCTCCTTTTAGCTCCCTGCCTCCCAAGGCATCTTTAGTACTGCCAGCTCTCCCAATCTGCAGATGGTCGTCTCTCACTCTATGGTTCCCACTACCAAACTCTGGCCACTTGCATCTCCCCTGACCCTCCAGCCCTAAGTATGTGAGGTTTCCTGCTAAAGGTAACCTCTGGCTTATTCACCATCTGTTTGTTCCTTGGCCCACAAACTATGTAAACTGTCCAATGTGGAAGTTCCTTTGTTTGTAATGTTCATGTTGAGTATTTCCCACCTGGGTTTTATCTGCCATTTAAAACAAATATGTTGGTTGGAGTTTTCCTTAATGTCCTTACCCCAGGAGCAAATCAGATACCATTTCAAATCTTCACTGTTCCCATTTTACATATGCATCTATTTCAATGCTTGCCAGGGTCCCAGTGGCTTGGTAGTGTCTTCAGATTTTGCAGTCACTAATGACTTACCCTCCTCTTTCCCTTTCTAGTCTATAACTTCTCTAAGTGCTCACTGTCAGAGATTAGAAAGCTAACTCATTGTCTTAACTTTCAATAAGAAGATTATTTGCTTAAAGTACAATCTTAGTTGTATGCATTGTATACATGCATGTGTGTGTGTGTGTGTTCATGCTGTGCTGGTATATATTCATACACCGACTATAGGACAACCCTGAATATTGTTCTTCAGGTTCTATTCATCCTGTGTCTTTGGTTTTGTTGTTTGTTGTTTGAGACAGACTCTCACTGGACATGAGTCCATTGTGTATGCTAGCTTGTCTCCCCATTTCTGGGATTGCAAGCATACCATGATGCCTGTTTTTCTAAGTGGCTTTTTGGGGTCAAACCCAGGATCTCTCAATAGGAAGGCAAGAACCTTCGGACTCCATCATAGTAAAAACTATGCTAACACAACACCTGAGACTAGAGAGTTCACAATGAGAAAAAAAAATGTTGGCTTGTAGTTAGTCCTAGAGTTTTGGAAAACCAGCATCAGGGGATCAACATCATCAAGGGCCTGATATCTGTGGAAGTCTTTATGGCCAAGACATCCTTTGGCAGAAAATGGAAAGCAAGAGCAAGAGGATAAGAGACCTAAACTCACCTTTTCATAACATTATCAATCCACTTATAAGAATATATAATACCTAAGGTGCTAATCATTTCTTTGGGCTTCATATGAATAATGTTACAATAGCAACTAAATTGCATCATGAGCTTGGAGGGTACAAACTCAGATTATAGCATCCTCTATACCTGGAACTCCTCCAGTTTAGCCTGTGTTTTTAGCAGCATTTATGCTGTCTTAATTATCTTGCTCAAAATGCCACACAATTCAAGTCCACCCTCATCACTGTGATGAGCAATTAGTTGCTACCAATAGTCAATGTTCACAATGGCTCCTGTAACCACTTTCTTTCCTCAACATCACTGCCACATTCAGACCCACCTCAATTATACCTGGATGGCTGTTTAAAGCTCACTTGAACCTGCTTGTCTGCCCCTAAGTGTCTGCAGTTCTTATTAGTATTATGTAAAGTTAACCAACCATAACATCTTTATCATAGCTCTTGATTATAGCTTCCTTTTGCTGATATTGCTAATAAGACTGTTCAAATTTAACTTGGCTTTGATGGTCTCCATAGTCAAAACGCATTCTCAGCAGCAATCTAATGTGTAAAACATCTCATCTGGTCATTCTTATTAATACAAGTTAGATTCTGTGATTTACTTCTTCAAAATTGACCCTCAAGGTAGATATGATAATAAACAAATTATACACTTGATTTTTTTTTTAGTTCACCTACTCATCAAGTGGCTACAAGTTCTACAGGCAGTTATATTGTTCTGTGTCTCTCTAAATATTTGGTGTCTTGTCCTACCTGGTATTAATCTCCTGGGTTCCTGAAAGACTGAATCTGGCCTAGTGAAGAAGGCATACATGTGTGAAAATTGGCTTTGTGCTAACTTAAATAATCTGTTGTGAATATACTGATGCTTTCTAATTTTCTTGTATATAACCTCTGAGTTCCCCCTGGAGGCTTTGGAGACAAGATAGCCCACAATACATCACATCGTTTTCAGAAACCCATTTTGGTCCATACAGAATTCATGAAGTGCTTCAGAAACAAATAGAACTTAGATGACATGAGCATCCTGGGGAGGTTGGGGTCTGGTTGAGCACGTTCAGATGCCTTCAGATCAAATCACTGCTTCTGTGCTCAGAACCCTTGAAATGGCAGGCTCCAGGCTTATGGACATATTCAAGGACTTCCTGAGGGACAAGCTGGCTGACCGATGATATTTAGGAGGCCTCTATAAAATGATCAAGAAAGGAAAAATGAACTTGCATAGTTTACTGTTGCCAATAAATACACTACTAATTTATCTGGGGTAATGAAAGCTTCAAAACAGTTCCTAAATCTTTTGCTGAACATCTGTGCTAAATGTGGGTGGTCATGATAGCAGCAAATAAACTCAGTTTTTTGTTATTTATTGGCATGAGTTAAAATGTGTAATGCAATTCGTTTACTAAAGACACGGTGCTGAAACTATAGCACACTGCTTTTGATTTGAAGAAATATATTTTCTTCCATATGGAGTTTTCTAGTAAAATTCAGCATTCTAAAATTAGTTTACAAAACAATTTAGAGAGAAAAAAATCCTATCAACCCATATAAAAAGTGAACACAAAACTATTTGTAAGTAATGGTTGGAACAGTTTTTTTAATTTTCTTTAGTGAAGCTATGTGTTGGCATTCATCTCCTCTTCCTTCCAGGCTGGGTTAGTCTCCTCCTGGTTTCTAAACTTTAAGCCATAAGACGTTGTAGGAGTATTGGAGGACTAAGTGTATCAAGCAGCTTGATCCTTTGCTTTGCTCATGAGCTCAAAACTGGAAGATTGTAAGTCCCACAGCTCTGATAAATGATTTTACCACATGCCTCCCAGTCATTAATCCCTGACCTATCTCCCTTAATTCTGTGCAGTTGCAGCACTTGACAGGCAATGACAAAGGCAGCCATTGTACCAACCCAGAATGTACAAAGACACTACACAAGACTGAAAAATCCGGGGCAACCATTGTATCAACGCAGAGTGTACAAAAACACTACACAAGACTGCAAAAGCCGGGACCACCCCCCTCAAGTCCACCACTCCCAGTAACCAAAAACATGCAACTTCATTGTCAAGTAACATACATAGAGAGTTCTTAAGTGAAAAGATTATGCTCTCGGGATATATAATACATAATATGATATATAATATGCTCATACATACATGGTCACAGGAGAAAATAAATCCATGTAGTAATATGGAATTGCTTTTTTGAACTTAGGCCTGGACATGTAATAAATTGTGACAGAAAAAAATTCCTGTCACTTAGAGGCTAAGTAAAGTTTGACATGATCAAGACATGAGAAGTAGGAGTGAAAAGAGAGTAAGGGGAAGCAGGAAGCCAACCTCTGAGGTTTTATTAGTTGTTGAAATGGTGAAAACTTTACAGTACAATATGTGTTCCTCTTCTGAGGCAAACCAAAGGTATATTTCTCAAGGTTCTGCTGCTATTAGCAGCGTTGATGGAGGATTTTTTATACATTTGTAATAGATAGAAATAAACCAGAAAAAAAAAAGAAG